CAGAGCAGAAAACTAATTTTCATGGAATCCAGCTTCTCAGTTCTTTCTTTCATGGTTCATGCCTTTGATGTTGTGTCTAAAAATTCCTCACTAAACCCAAGGTCATCTAGATTTTTATCCTGTTATCTTCTAGGAGTTTTATAGTTTTGTATTTTACATTTAGGTCTGTGATATATTTTGAGTAAATTTTTGTGAAAGGTGTAAGATCTGTGTCTAGATTCATTTTTTTTTTTGCATGTGGATGCCCAGTTGATCATGTACCATTTCTTGAAGAGACTGTCTTTGCTCTATTGTATTGCCTTTGCTCATTTGTCAAAGATCAGTTGATCTTTTATATGTGGGTTTGTTTCTGGGCTCTCGGTTCTGTTCTATTGATCTATATTTGTCTATTCTTTCATCAGTCCCACACAGTCTTGATTACTGTAGTTTTATAAGACATCTTGAAGTTGGGTAGTGTCAGTCCTCCAACTGTGTTTTTCTCCAACATTGTTTAGGCTATTCTGGGTCTTTTGCCTCTCCATACATACTTTAGAATCAGATATATATATATATATATATATATATATATATATATATATATATATATATATATATATATATATATATATATATATCTACAAACTAACTTGCTGGGATTTGATTGGGATGCATTGACTCTATAGGTCAAGGTGAGAAGAACCAACATCTTGACAATAATGAGACCTATTGTGTGTTCAGCCCTAAACTTAGCCCTGGGAGGTGGGGAACTGGGCTGGAGTACACAAAAGCACAGGACAAGCTCCCCGTGGTGCTCGCAAGGTAACTCTGCCTCACACAGTGCCAGGCATGCGGGTAGTGCCAATAAATGGTCACTGGGACCATGAGTGACACCAAATTCCAAAGCACCTGGGAATAAGGCAGTATGGTGCCCGTTTCTTGCTAAGATGGGTAGTACAGACTCCCATTCTTTAGCGGGAAGGCCTGGCCTCAGGGGAAACTTTGTGGGAAAGGTACTGTTGAGAAGGGAACTGGCCTGATGGGCTGGTCTGAGCAAGGCTCTCTGGCTTACTGGGTGGTTACATTGATAGATTAATTCACTGATTTATTTATTCATTGATTTATTGAATCAATATTTACTGAGTCTGAGGCACTCAGGAATCTCCCCCCGCCTAACATATCCAGCCAGCCCCTGCAATTCAGGCAGGACAACCGTGTTTGTCCTGATGGCTTGATAACTGTGGGCTGGGCCTTGGGGATGGCAGGGGCCCCCTGTATTCTGGCTAGGGATGGTTTTGGCTGTTTTTAAGGTTAGTTTCTCGACATGGAAGGAGGTGTCATGCTATTGACTAGGGTCTCAAGTTTAGGGGAGTCCATGTTGGCCTAGATGTACCCACTCTTGCCTGCCTGTGGGGGATCATCACTGTGGCTGGTTGTGGGCTCAGCATCCAGGAGCTCAGGGAAGGAAGAAAGGAGACTCTCAATCAAATATTTTATTATTTTATCCACATGGAGACTCTTTAAGACTTGAACTGGTCTGGGAGCTGTGGAGCATAAGAAAGAAGGGGAAGAAAGAGGTGAACCAGCAGGAGGAGACAGGGCAAGGAACAAAAAGAGAAGAGAGACAGTCAGGAGAGAAAGTGATAAGGGTGGAAAGGAGCAGAGAGGGACAGGAGAAGGGCAGAAAGACAAAAGCAGGGAGGGAAGGAGGGAGAGAAAGAGGAAGAGGGGGAGAGAGAGAGAGAGAGGACAGAGCCAGCCGGAAGGGAGAGAAATGAGGGAGGGAGAAGGAAGAGGAAGACCAAAGCTGCTGCTGAAGGAGCCCGGGTTCTGCCCTGGGTCCTTGCGGGGGTTCTCCCGCCCCTGTGTGCTGGTGTAAACTCACACACTCACATGCCAGGACACACGTGCACACACATGCAAACACATATGCATTCACGCTCTCCTCCTTGGGTACTGCCTTCAGAATCTACTCAGCTGGGGAGGCGGGGTTGCCACCATGACAGGTGCTGGAGCACCACTTTACAGTATTAATAGCTTCCATGGAAGCTAGCAAAACGGTGACTTCATCCAACCCCCGTCTCCCTGGCAGGTTCTTTCTCCCTCCTCCTTTGCAGGGTGGCGCTGCGAAGGTCCTTCAGGGCCATGCAGGCCACTTCCCTGCCTGCTGGCAGCCAAAGATGACTTGAAGGACGACTCGAAGGCCTTGGGGGTTCTGCCCAGTGTCAGGGGCAGGAGGGGTGGGTACTGGAGTTGTTCTATCCTCTGAGCTGGGTCTAACCATAGCCCCTGTTAAGAAGGGGTTTCTGAGGCACAGAACCCCTCAGAGGGGCCACTCAGCTTCTCTGGGGCCCATGCAGTCACACTGTCTTCTCTAGGTCCCTGCCTGGCCAGAGATTTGCACCCAGTTGTCACTTGATAGTGGTGTCCTTTCCCACAGTACAGAGCTTTCCAGAAGTGCTAGGGCTAGGCTGGGAGGTGGCCTCGGGTGCAAAATTCCAGAGGCACTCACTCTCAGGCCTGAGCAAGTACAAGGTTGGCACTGCAGGACCCTGAGAGCCTGTGCCCCCTTACATTTTGCACTAAAGACGCCTCACTTGCCTCATCCTCATCCTGGCCCCGTTGATACTCCCATTATCTCCTCAACCCTCTTGGGTCAGGGGAAGTTCCTGTCCTGCCCTTAGGTCCCTGCCTTTGTCCTTCATGCCTCTCACCTTCCTGTGGGGTCCGCTGGGATTAGGCTGCTCTGAGCTGCAGCACCTGTCACTGCCTCTGGACTTCTCAGGCAGCTCCAGTCTCCTGGCCCTCACTTCCCTCCTTCCCTTTGACCTTCTCTATGTCTCTCCTGCTTTGCCCCAGGTTTACACCACATGGGGCCTGTGACATCTTTGCTGTCCTCTACCTCTGGGGCCTCAACCCCCACCATCCCTTGGACCCTGTTCCAGCTCCTTCTCCCTGAGGAAGGGAGGCTGGGACTCTACGAAGGGCCCAAGCCTCCTCCCAGCCACTGTCTGCAAATCACACCAAGGGACTCACACTTCACACACACTCCAAGGGAATTAGTCTCATCTATACAGAGCCTTCAGATTTATTCCAATGCCAGCAGCATCTCCCAGTGACCTCACTCCAGCAGATTTCAGGGGGGCATGTGAATGCTTGTGAGTGTGTGCACTTATGTAGAAGTGAGCGTGCAAGACAGTGTAGAGGTGTGGGTGAAAATGTGAGTGTACTGCCGTTCAGAGCCCATGGATTTCTGACGCATGAGTCATCGGTTGGGAGTGTGCCTTGGGAAGATACACCCATAAATAAGACAGCACCCCTGACCTGCCTTGTCCATTCTGCAGCTGGCTGGGCACGTGATCCTGGGCATCTGAGAGACTGGAGGCTGGGGTGGGGGCTGTCTTTCCCTTCAGACCCCAGAGAGCAGCTGTCACAGATATTTCTAGCTTGCCTGGAGTCCCAGACATTTAAGGATGTGATGCTTGCAATGGGGTGGGGGTGGAGGGCAGGGGAGAGAAATAAAGGGCGGCTCAGAGGCTTTACTCGCAGGGATCTTAATGGAGCTCTACTGGCAAGCAGGGGGACTCATCCATTCCACAAATGCTTTTTTGATAGTCCGTCAGATGCCAAGCACTCTCCTAGGGGCTGGGGACATGATGGTGAATGGAATTGACCTGCTCTCTCCCCTCACAGAGCTTACGTTCTAATGGGGGAGGCAGGACATAGACAAGACGGAAAGGCTACTTTCCAACTAATCCTAGAAAATGAAACAGAATAATGGTATGGAAAGTGACTGAGAGTGGTGGAGATTCTTTAATTGGGGTGGTCATGGAAGGTCAGGAGGTGACACATGAACTCTGCCTGAATAAATAAAAAGCCATCGCATGGAGACTTGAGGGAAGAACCTTCCATGACAGGATGGATGCAATGCCCATTGCCAGCCCACTTCTTGCTAATTCTGGATCCAGAGTTGTTGAAGCCAGTCCGGGGGCTAGGGGTGACCTAGAGGAGCAGGATGGCAGATTCTCTCTGGGGGGAATTTGGTTCATCTTCTACCCTTGCTAGACTACGAGAGGGAGATGACCAGGTCCACGTAGGAGGAGAATGACTCCCTTTCCTTTCCTGCAGGCTTTCTGGTACAGTGCTGAGCTACAGGATGGAAGAGTCGTGAACAGGCTACTTGCAGAAGCCCCCTTCCTCCAGGAAGCCTTCTTTGACTGCTGCAGGCCACAGAGGCCTCCCCTCTCCCACTCTTACAGTTGACAGAATCACTTAGTTCAGAGTTGGTGGTTCTCTGATGGTTTGTCCCTGAGATCTGTTTCCCCAGCTTGGCCAGCAACTCAGTGTCTTAGGTCTCGCCTGTATTAATCCAAAGGCCCCCGGTGCTATGTGTTCAGTGGGTTTTTTTGGTTTGAGCCATTGTCCCTTCAGATCTGACTGAGAGTGGAGGGTCAAGTGCTGGGGTTCCTAATCTCACTTCATTTATTTAATCGTACATTTTACTCATTAAGTTTTTTTTTTTTTTCTTGAGCTTTTACTGGGCCTGGCACCCAGGGAGATCAGTGTTCTTGCTTTACCGTTTCTCTTGTTTTCAAGACCACGTTCCACTGTTTGTGAGAGGGAGAAGTCCATTCCCTGGAGCCCAACCTCTGCCTGACATCTTCACGCCGCCTAGGTCCGGGGGCCCCGCGCCGCGGAGAGCTTCGGGCAGACGGGAACGCAGCGCGCCCCGGACCACCTCGGGCTGAGCAGGCGCGCGCGTGTCACTAAGACGCTCATTCACCGGCGCAGCTGTCACCATAACAACCGGTGCGAGGGAATTCTGGCTACGGCTGGGGGCGGGGGTCGGGGCGACAGTGGCTGGAGCGCGGCGGCCGGGGGAGACCAACCACCGCGGGAGCGCCCAGCAAGCCCCGCGTTCCACGGAGCTCTGCTCCATGCAGACCCGCCGGCGGGAGGGCGCCACGCACGTCGCCGCAGCGGCCGTCCCCGCGGGCCGGGACCGAGCCTGCTGCTGAGCTGCCGAGCCGCGGGACAGGCCGAGCCGCTGAGCGCCCGGAGCCCTGGCTCTATGGCCCTGGAGGAGCGCGCCGGAGCCACCGCGCCGCCTACCACCAGCCAGAACTCGAGCGCCCGCTGGAGGAAGGGGGGAGCCCCGGGCACCGCCGGCCCCGACTCAGGGGCCCGCCCGCGGCCCCCGCCCCCGCCCCCGTCCCCGCCGCAGGCAATGGCAGGCAGGTAGCCAGCTCGTGTGAGGACCCTCGCGGCGGGCAGGACCCGTAGAGAACCGCGGAGCCCAGAGAGAGGGAGGAGAGCAGCGGCTGGCCCGCCCCGGGCCGCAGCGCCACCAGGGCCCTCCCCCGGTGGCGCGCGTCCGCGCGCGCACACATTCGCACTCTGTACCTCCGCTCCTGCCCAGCCTCTCCTGCCCTCTGCTAGTGCCGAGTCCCCTGGGGCCTGATGCCATGGGTAACAACTTCTCTAGTATCCCCTCTCTGCCCCGAGGAAATCCGAACCGGCTGCCGCGGGGCCACCCCCAAAATCTCAAAGGTAAGGGTCCGCGGGCTGGGCGCAGCTAGAGGACTGGGGCTCAGGTGGAGGGGCAGGGAGAGGTGGAGAGGTGTGGTTGGGCAGGATGGGCAGCTGCCACCTGTTGTGCGTATCTGGAGACAGGAGATGCACATCTGGCCATGGAGGTGGGCTAGGGATGGGGGCGGCCGGTGGTGATGATGGAAACCCGGAGGATGGCGTTCGGCGGCGGGGTCTGCGCAGTTCTCCCTGCCAGCACTGGGAACGTCACTGGAGTTCCCTCAGGCCATGATGCTTGGTGAGCGTGTAGGCGTGAGGAAGGGTATTCGCCGGGTGGATAGGGCAGTGTGGTAGGAGGCTCACATCTGACAGTTGTGCTTCTCAAGGGAGGCATCACAGTCTCCTGTTTTCATCTGCCCAGGGCTGGAGAGGTCACGCTGGAAGCACTAGTTGCATTTCCAATTGGTGGGTCTTAAAGATCCAGGACTGATTTATAGCAGCTTCAAAGAAGGGGCCAGAGCTGATGGCTTCTGGGGTCCTCTGCAGCTGTTGACTTATGGCATTCACCGAATCAGCTTGTTTTCTGGTTCCCCCAAAGGCCAGATGTCCAGTTGGGTCCCTAGAAAGGCGATGCTGGGAGCCTTGAAACAGGAAGGTTTACCAGGAAAGTCTTTGCCCTCTGAGTCCCTGACCCACCAGAACCCTCAGGGAGGCCCTAGGCCCAGTTTTTGGCCCTTCCAAGTGCTGTATCTGACCTTTGCAAGACAGAGCGGGCTCCTCCCAGGCCCTCAGATCCCACTAATTCCCTTCAGGAAGCTGCTTTTCTGTTATTCTCAGAACTAACCAACACTTGTCCTGGGCATTCTGATGACTGAGAACCAGGAAGGGGGAACAACCCGCTTCTTCAGACTGCCCCAGGTTATGAGAAGGATAATAGATAGCAATGCCCTTTGACAGAACATTGATGGTTACAAAGAAGTTTCACAAACACCTTTTTATATGAGCAAGGAAAGGGGTCTGGGCAGCCAGCAGCGCTAATCAGACCCATTTTACAGTTGAGGAGAGCCATGGCCTGTTTCAGGTTCCCAAAGCCAGTGAGGGGCAGAGCCAGGCTGCAGACCTATATTTTCTGACTTGGAATTCTGTCCTCTCTTTTGCTGGACAGTTAACCTTCAAGACTGGGGGAGAGGAGGAGAGACGGGACCACCGTCCTGCATTCTAACTCCAACCCTTTCAGAACTTCAGCTCTCACTCGGCTCGGGAAAATCAATGGGTTTGTTGTGTCTTTCTGGAAATTAATATGGCGGTACATGTCAAGACCTTTTAAAATATCATATTCATTGGCCTTGTGATTCCACCTAGAGGAATTGATCCTAAGGAAATGGAGATGCAGCCAAACACTTATGCACTAGGCTAGGATGTGCATGGCTGTGTTATGTATACCAGGAAAACAACCTAAACTCCCTTTGATCATGGTAGATCCTCCTGGTGGAGTATTATGCAACCTTTAAAACTGTATTTTTGAAGACTATTTGATGACTTGGGACAAGGCTCACAGCAGCATCATGACAGTTGAAAAGGCAGGATACAAAGTTGTATAGACCGTACGATCCCAATTTTGTGTAAAAGAAAAATGATATGCATGCCCAAAAAAATCAACCATGGAAAGAAAGTTTCCAAAAGGTTTTAACCGTGGTTTCCTCTAGGTAATGGGATCACATAAGACTTTTTATTTTCTGTTTTTATATTTTGCTCATTTCAAATGTTTCTACAAAAAGCAAGGATTACTTTTTATAATTGGAGATAAGCTGTGTTAGCATGTGTAAAGACTGTTTCTGAGCATCGGAAACCGATTCCTAATGATGAAAGAAACTGTGGACATCATCCAGTTCAGTGTCCTCCCTTACAAGTGAGAAGGATGAGGGAAAAGGACAGTGATTGACTGGCCCAGTTTACTCAGTGGGTCAGTGAAAACAAGGTGGCAAAACCAGGCTAAGTCCTTCAAGGGTGGGGTTACGCTGGAGGCAAGTGAGTTGACTTGGTGCTTTAATGCTCACAGACTGCCCGAAAAGGCCCTGCTCCACCCTGGAATCCTAGGGGAGCTCAAAGAAGGCCTCCATAATTGTACCTTTTTTTACCTAAAGTTTGGGATTGTGGGGATGTGAGGTCTCTGAGGCTGGGCTCTTTGACAAGGGAGGGAGTGGGCAGGAGAGGGTCTGAGGCTCTCACCTTTGGGACCCCACCCTAGCTTCTCCTCTATCTCACTCCACATCTGACTCCACACCTATCTGACCTGGGAAACCCCCACTTCTGCTGCCTTCCTGGATAATTTCGTCTTCCATGGGAGTAAATGGTGGATAAATTCTCTCCTGGCAGTCTCCCTCCCCCGCCCATCTCCCTTCAGGCTCGATTTACCACAGTCCACTCTTCCCTGCCTCTACCCACACACCTCCTGGAGGTGGACATGAGAATTTTGATTCTGCCCCTTCTAAGCCTAAGATGAAGGACCGGAGCATGGCCATGAAGGCCATCTATGGGTGCCCTCCATCCTTCATCCAGGGTCCACCGATGCTCCTTCTCAGCCTGACTTCTACCCATCCTAACAGCCATCAGCTTCATTCTGTGATTGTTTTAGTGTTCACTCCAAATTCCCTTCTAACTGTATCAGCACTGACCTAAGAGTCTTCTCTGATATATCAATGGTCATCTAGATCCATTCCACTCGTATTGGTGTTGACCTTAGAATCCCTGGCTGTGATTCTAAGACTGTCCACCTGGAGTTCTGCTAGATTGCTTCAGTCCTCACCCAAAATTCAGCTCTAATTCTTATCAGTGTCTACTTAGAAATTTGCTGGGGGCAGGAAACTCTTGATTTTTTTCTCTCCTATAATTGCAATCTGTATTGATGTCTCATCATTTTAATGAAAACAACTGGAAGGGGCCTGGTGTAATAGGGACCCTGGGTCTCACTGGAGATCTAAGAGTGGGCTGGCCTGTCACGCTGGCGTGAAACAAGGCTCGTCTATCACCTGTCTGGTGGTAGACTTTGGTCTTCTTCCTGGAGACACACTGACCTCATTGCACTGCTGTCAATTCCCACTGGGGTCTCAGCAGTGTTGGTCTAGGAGTTTCCAGGGGAGAGGTCCAAGGTATTGCTCTGGGCTTAGTACCAACAGACAGTTACAAGGAGCTGCTATGTGCCTGGCTCAGAGGTGGGGGCTGACATCCCTGTACAGTCACAGACTGAAGATCTATTTGAAAAGGCGATGCTGAGGGAGGGGATGGGATCAAGGACTTGGCTGGGTTGTTGAAATCCCAGATGTGCGGGGCCAGAGGTCAGAAATGGGGGATCAGGGAAGGATTTGAGCTGGACATGGAGGGAACTGCAGAAATTGGAGAGATGGCAAGGGGTGCAGCAGGATTCCTAGGGTGTGGGGAGGAAGGTGAGGGAAGGGACATACAGCAAAGGCTTGGAGGTGGGAATGAGTAAATGTGTGTGTACAATCTCAGTGATGGGCACAGAGTGACTAGGCAGGGGGTTCATGCTTCATGGAGATGGAGAAGAGAATCAAAACCTTCCTCCTTTCCTAGCTCTGTCTGAGTGCCTGCCTGCTTGGGAGAAAAGTCACTAGGAAATCTTTGGGGAGGGCTCCTCAGCCCCAGTGGTCACCGATAGGGGGGGATTGGATGGGCCACCTCCCATCTTTTTTTATTGTGCTAAAATTCACGTATCATAAAATTCACCATTTCCACATTTTAAAGTGTACAATTCAGTGGCATTTCGTACACTCACAATATTGAGCAACCACCGCTTCTATCTAGTTTCAGAACATTTTCATCAGCCCAGAAGGAAAGCCTGTAGCCATTAAGCAGTCGCTTCCCCCTACCCCATCCCCTGAATCCCTAGCAACCACTTTCTGGCATGGATTCGCCAATTCTGGACATTTCATATAAATGGAATCACACTATATTTGTCCTTTTGTGTCTGGCTTCTTTCGCTTAGCATAATGTTTTTAAGGTTCATCTATGTTGTATGAGGTCAGACAATTAAGTTTGCAAAGTCATCCTAGGAAAAGTGCTACATACCTCTTTGCTGAATATCACTATGGTCACCTTCGAAGTACTCCCTTCCCTTGGGAAACTATGCACCGACGCCAGCACCTAATCCATACTTCAAAGCAATTTTGGAACTGTTTTTCTGGAATGGCCATCAGAGCTGTCATCGTATCACCCTTGATGTCCTGAATGTCATCAAAATGTCTTCCTTTCAGTATTTCCTTTATCATCGGGTAAAGAAAGAAGTCATTGGGGGCCACATCAGGTGAGTAGGGAGGGTGTTCCAATACAGTTATTTGTTTACTGGCTAAAAACTCCCTTACAGACAGTGCCATGTGAGCTGGTGCATTGTTGTGATGCAAGAGCCTTGAATTGTTGGTAACAAGTTCAGGTCATCTAACTTTTTCACGCAGCTTTTTTAGCACTTACAAATAGTAAACTTGGTTAACTGTTTGTCCAGTTGGTACAAATTCATAATGAATAATACCTCTGATATAAAAAAAGGTTAGCAACATAGTTGCAACAAATTGGTGAACCTAATTGTCAGACCTCGTAACATGTATCTTCTTTCCTTTTTGTGGCTGAATAATATTCCATTGTGTGTGTGTGTGTGTGTGTGTGTGTGTGTGTGTGTGTATGCCACATTTGGTTTATCCACTTGTCAGTTGATTGATATTTGAGTTGTTACTGCCTTTTGGTTATTGTGAATTTTGCTGCTATGAAAATATAAGTTTTTGTTTGAACACCTGTTTTCAGTTCTATGGGGTATATACCTAGGAGTGAACTTCCCATCTCTTCAAAGCTGGTACTTATTATTGAATTGGACATTTCACAAAGCCCCTGGTTATGACAGCTGCAGGGAGATTGTCCCCCTCCAGGTTCGGCCGGGTGTGACATAGTTTTCAGCATCTCTTTTCCATCCTGGCTGAGGCTTCTGGCCCTGATGGAGGAGCCTCTGAGTTTGG